GGTTAGGTCTTTCCTACCAAAAATTATTATTTGTGATTTATTGTTGGCATGATTAATAATGCGCGACGTCGGGTGACTAGAATGAGAGAGTGTGGTATTAACAAATAATCTCATGTAGATCTATCTAGTGGTCTTTAGAATCGAAGACTAACAAGGCGTCTTCTAGGTAATGAATCTTTGCTAAAAGTACACAGAATAATCAAAGAGGAACTTACAGGGAAAGAAAAATTACAAAGGAAGAATGCGAATTGCATAGAAAATTTTACGAGGGGCCGGTGGAGTAGCAAATGAATTTAAGCGTAAAAGTTCCCCATATTTGTGGATAAATTAAAAAGGCTTTCTCTCTATTTCTTTAGGTTGCAGGCTGCTTCAGGAAATGAAAACAAAGCAAGCTTGCAGTTCTATCTACATTTTCAAATATTAGTAAAAATGCAAGATTTTGTCCCAAGTTTTGCTGCCTAACACAACATTGCTCATCCATATTTAGACCAACCCTATATATGTCATGCACTTCACATGTGTAATTTAAGTGTCGTGCAGCATGAGATCTTCATCCTATCCAATCTGCTGTTCGGCAGTAAAGTTCATCTTTCATTACTCTTTTCTTCACATATCTAGGCTGGGACATCCATCAATGGTAGCGGGCGGCCAACACGCTCATAAAAAGTGTAGAAAAAAGTATGGTATAGAAAAAAAGTTGAAAAGTTATCCTTTCTGTATAGGCTTGCCAAAAAAAAGGCTAATAAAGTGAATTCTTCTTAACAGTGAAAATTATCCAAAAGTGAAACACATGATTCCATTATTATCACAACAAGATTTGCTAAGAAGTGCTACCTGTGAGAAAAAAGAGTCAGATTTCAAGAAAGAATTTTAGATTAACATCTCGAAAATGTGGGAGTCAACAACGGATGATGAGGCACCGGTTGCGAATTTCACTCCGGATTTAGACATAAAATGGCCGGAACCGGATCCTGTTTCACCAATAATGACGCGGGTTTGTTAAATGATTGCTTTTGCATTTTAAGGCTCCTCAACCATTCATAGCGATTAATAACTAGGTTATGTTTTTATTTAGGATCACTCCGCTTCTAGAAAATCATCTTGTTGGTCAAGTCCTCCTAACATCTTTGTCGATGAAGGCTCTATACCGTCTTCTCCTGTGGGTGAGTTAAAATTTGAAAACATTATTAGTTCAGCGAAGACCAAGTCACCTACTTTCTAACTCCAGTCGCTAAGTTTTCAAATGGTTACCGTTGCTGAGCATTGTAAAATGGCGAGTGAAATCTAGTGAACGGTCTGTGCGAGAAAGCTCTAGTGCAGTGCAGCTTTCTATAAGTCTTTTAGTTTCATTACATTCTCATCGCATGCAATAAAACTCTCGAGGATTCATGCATTCTAGATGATATTACTTCTTCAAAGTGCCCTTGCTCTTGTTCCAAGCCGCTTCGTAAAAACAATTCGAAGTTACCCCAATGAAACAATTAGTATCCTCGCTCTAATAAGAGGCCATTTTGAGATCGCTGAAATACAAATTTGAAGTGAAGGTTCCACTAAAAGCTAATGTTCAGGTCAAGCAGAATGTTGGTCGGCACCGGAATGTCTTAATGACGATGATGACAGCGAAGAAGAGGAGATGGGAGGCGAACAAAGGCGAATGCAAAGAGCATGTTCGTGCTGCGAAATTGATGTCGGCAGGCACGACTCCACAGCATTTTCTGGCAGCTACCCGGTGATTGACACTGCTCATCAAGGTATGAAGCTTCGTGCTTTCTCCTCCGTACCGCCGTGCCATCATCCGTCACAAGTTCGCTAACCGAATTGTTTCCCGCTTCAAGGACGATTAGTTTTAGCTGGTGAGAGTATAAGTGCGCGCAGTCTATACCCCTACGCCTTCATCCCTTGGGACTTTATCGTGGTCTTTTGTTTCCATTTTGTCCTCCTCCCTTCAATTTATAAAGCTGTCACAACCATTGTCGTCGTAGAGTGTAGTGTTTTTACTCTGTTACTTCTTCTATATTTATATGTTTTTGTATCTTCATAAAGTAGTTGTTTAAATTCTCAAGAATTTTTAG